AGTGTCATCACACAGTTCTTTGCACACTGCAGTCACAGCATATATGGGTGCTAAAATCTGAAATTTGATGCCTTATGAGCAGCAATGTTACTAAACAGGAAGGAGTGGAATATTTACACATTTTGTGGGTATGGGTGGCGGATAGATTATCTATATGGATGATATTATCTCTCGGCTCTACACTCACATGCATGCAGAGAGCATCTAAAATTGACAACAAAACATTTCCTAAATAGTAGTATCTTATCCACATCTGTCAGAATGAGTTATGCGTGCACATAAACCATTCTACAATCAATTAAGATAAAATTTGTTTTTTTTATATATATATCCAATATACTCCAAGATGGTGAGAAATAAGAACTTCTGGTCTGAAGATAGAACTTTTTGGCCTTAATTCTAAGCGGTATGTGTGGAGAAAACCAGGCACTGCTCATCACCTGTCCAATACAGTCCCAACAGTGAAGCATGGTGGTGGCAGCATCATGCTGTGGGGGTGTTTTTCAGCTGCAGGGACAGGACGACTGGTTGCAATCGAGGGAAAGATGAATGCGGCCAAGTACAGGGTTATCCTGGACGAAAACTTTCTCCAGAGTGCTCAGGACCTCAGACTGGGCCGAAGGTTTATCTTCCAACAAGACAATGACCCTAAGCACACAGCTAAAATAATGAAGGAGTGGCTTCACAACAACTCTGTGACTGTTCTTGAATGGGCCAGCCAGAGCCCTGACTTAAACCCAATTGAGCATCTCTGGAGAGACCTAAAAATGGCTGTCCACCAACGTTTACTATCCAACCTGACAGAACTGGAGAGGCTCTGCAAGGAGGAATGGCAGAGGATCCTCAAATCCAGGTGTGAAAAACTTGTTGCCTCTTTCCCAAAAAGACTCATGGCTGTATTCGATCAAAAGGGTGCTTCTACTAAATACTGAGCAAAGGGTCTGAATACTTAGGACCATGTGATATTTCAGTTTTTCTTTTTTAATAAATCTGCAAAAATGTCAACAATTCTGTGTTTTTCTGTCAATATGTAATGCTGTGTGTACATTAATGAGGAAAAAAAAATTAACTTAAATGATTTTAGCAAATGGCTGCAATATAACAAAGAGTGAAAAATGTAAGGGGGTCTGAATACTTTCCGTACCCACTGTATATGTATGCATATAATGTATTTATATTGTCATAACATTTAGATACTATTTATTTGAAGTTGAATAGTTGAAAATGAAATGTGGAAAATGTACTCACCCTCAAGCTATCCTAGACATATTTGTTTCTTCATTTGAAAAGATTTGGATAAATTTAGCCTTACATCTCTTGCTCACCTATGGATCCCTCTGCAGTGAATGGGTGCCATCAGAATGAGAGTACAAACAGCTGATAGAAATATCACAATAATCCACAAGTAATCCACACCACTCCAGTCCATCGATTAATGTTCTGTGAAGTGAAAAGCTGCAAGTTTCATTTTTGGGTGAACTATTATTTAAAATATTAATCCTATCATTATAATGACATGCAATCACATCACAAAATATTATAGTATATAAGTTTTGGTGTAGGGACTGCAAAACCATAACATATAAAATCTAAGTGCTTTAAGATATATGATACCAACAGGAAATGTCATCTAATACTAATGAGGGCATCATTTGTGATTACTCTGAGAGAGACTTTTTCTGGGTTTTACTCTGCTCCATTTACAGGAAATGCATGATGTTTCATATCTGGGAAAACTGCTGATGCTAAACACGTTTCGATTTTTCATTAAAATTACAGTGTTTCTGAACTTTAATTAACTCAACAAATTGATGTTTTAAAACTGACAAAGAAATATTGTGGCAATATAATTTTCCTCCTGTTTGATAAGTGGGCTGATGCATTGTTAACGTCTCCCTGTGTCAATAAGGATATGACGAACAAACTGTTGGTAAAGCTGGACGATCCTTTGGTCATGTGTCTTAAGTGAGCATAGCATGCACACACACTTCCTAGTTAAGACTTTTTTTTGTCTTTCTGACTCTCAGTTGTTATTTGGCTCATTTGATTACTTTTGAATGTTTGTATTATGTAGTCATTTACAGCTCATGCAAGCTTTCGCCAGTCTCACCTGACTGTCTGTTAAGAGTCATTAATAATATGCAGTCAGCCAAAATCTGTGTATGACCTTGCCCTTATAGGGAAATCTGAGCTAAAAGTGAGATTTAACGAGCCAACGGAGGGTAGAAAAGAACCTGTAAAATACTGGGCTTGGAGATTATGTGAATATAAAAATATTTCCAAATGAGGCCAGAGCCATGGCTAGGAAAAAAACCTTCTATGGTGTCAGAAATGTTGTTGTGGTTGCATGTAATGTATTCACCGACTGAAGCGCTAATTAGAAACGAGTCAGCATTTAAAAAAGCCAGCACTTTAGTTATTGTATTTTAAATAATAACTGTAAGGTTAAAAGCTTTGCTAATGTGCAAAGTGGTTTTAATGTAATTTCAGGACTCCAGATCTGAGAAGGTGTTCTGTGACTTCAGCAACATGTCTCACTTCTGTTGAGCGCCTACATCCCCAAAATATACCAGTAATTATTCAACTAGAGTTTTCACATTTTAATGAAAAACATGGGGTTGCAGAAGGAGAGAGAGTGGGAAAGTTGTAATAAACTTCCAATTGACTTTCAGCGCCAGCCAGCAATGCAAATCCAGCCACAATTGCATCCCATCTCTCCTGAAGCTTGATTTGAATGCAAATTTGCCTGGACATCCATTTTGAATACGTGGAAACACAGCTTGACATTCAGAGCAAGTACTTGTGCACAAATGTGATTTTGCATGTCACAGATTTGTGTGTAGGTATCTTTTCTTGCTGATGTTGGAGTTTCCATGGCTCCTTATTGTGAATAATCATTTTATATACCAACTTGACATACTGTGACCTTTTTATACATAAATGAATGGAAAGATGGATTGCACCTTTCTCAACTGTGAATCTAAAGCCTCTCAGCATAAACCACAACACATCAAAAGTGTGAAACTCTCTTGCTGTAATAACTGTCAGTACTACATTCAAGAATAAAGAGCTGCTGGAGCATCAAATATTGATAATATTCACAAAGTCTTCATTATTGTCATTATGCACAAAGACATCACTTGGTGGATCAGACTGATATGACTGAAAAACATGGTTGCTGAAGCTGAACTTGGCCTGTCAAAACAGTAACAAAATTAGATTGTGCGTCTATATTTAATCCAAAAGCCCCTTGTATTGTGTTGCTGAATATCATGTTTTGTCTTATGAACTAAAGAAGGAAATTTAGTTCAAGTTTATAAAATGAGAGGTTGGGTGGGTCTGTTTATTTAGAAGCCTGTACAGCTTTCTCAGACATAGAGGAACCTTCTCATACTCTGAGTCTGACCCTTAAAATTAAATTTTGTTGTTGTAATATAACGCTATTATATATTAGATTTACACCTAGGTACACAGGTGGACCTATGTAGTTTTAAAATAATCGCGCCAAATGGCTCATATTCTAACAAAAAGAGCGCTGTCTGTTCAGTGATTGTTTTAGCTTTCTCTTTCTGTCAGGGCTCTCTGTTGCAGTGTGGAGAGGGTGTTAGCGAGCAGTGTTGGGGGTAACGTATTACAAGTAACGCGAGTTACGTAATCAGATTACTTTTTTCAAGTAACTAGTAAAGTAACGCATTACTTTTTAATTTATAAGAGAATATCTGAGTTACTTTATCAAATAAGTAACGCAAGTTACTTTTTTTCCATTTTATTGATTGACAGCTGTCCTGTCCCCATGTTGAGAGAAATCAGAAGATGTTACTGTAGTTCTAAAATAAATATGAATATGCATTAATTCATCTCACCAACAAGAAAAAACCCCCGCACAGATTCAGTATTCCTCAAAATGAACAAAAAATGCAACTCAGAATATGACGCAAACCTGCAATAATTAAATGTTAAACAACACAAATATCCTTTATGTATTTAATCCCATTCTATTAACCAATTGCTTTGCTTCTGACCTTCGGTGAGCCAGTTCAACCATACTAATAAGCCAAAATTACTCTAGACAAACATTTTTGAGAGAAATCAGAAGATGTTACAGTTCTAAAATAAATATGAATATGCATTAATTCCTCTCACTCACAAGAAAAAACCCCCGCACAGATTCAGTATTCCTCAAAATGAACAAAAAATGCAACTCAGAATATGACGCAAACCTGCAATAATTAAATGTTAAACAACACAAATATCCTTTATGTATTTAATCCCATTCTATTAACCAATTGCTTTGCTTCTGACCTTCGGTGAGCCAGTTCAACCATACTAATAAGCCAAAATTACTCTAGACAAACATTTGTGTGTTTTTATACTGCTGAAGTGTGTTGAAATTTCTTCTTCTGCATTCTACTGTACGGACATAAATTTACATTTCCTTCAGCCTGAGGCTTATTCATTTCACTTTTGGTGTGGTTTTTATTTTAAAAACAAACAAGCAAGCCCTGTCCAGATTTAAAAAGTAACGCAAAAAGTAACGCAATGCATTACTTTCCATAAAAAGTAACCAAGTAACGTAATTAGTTACTTTTTTATGGAGTAACGCAGTATTGTAACGCATTACTTTTAAAAGTAACTTTCCCCAACACAGTTAGCGAGTCTCATCTGTATTCTTCCACGCGGTGCCTCCCCTACAGGCGTGTTTTGACTTGACAAAAAGTTACGCGTGCTTCCTGGTTTGAAGCACTATTACCTCAGGTACGCCGCAAACTGAAACAACGAGTCACTTCTGCTTCTCGGACGTCTGCGCTTAGACATTCCCAGCTGGACATCCAACCGGGGATTAAGTTTAGTAGGTTTTCTTTCCTTTGCACGTTTTCCAACTCTACCGGGATGCATTTATACTTCAACTGTGGGTGAAGCGCATGCCTACACCCGCTTTATATCAGGAAGAGTTTGTAAGAAAAGTGTCCGGGCTTCTCAAGATCAGACTGAAGCATCCAGACTCCTTTGCTGTAAATAGCAAAGATGTCTGATTCAGCGTCCAGTTTTCTGCATATAGGGGATATTGTCTCCCTGTATGCAGAAGGAACGGTCAATGGCTTTATAAGCACACTGGGGTAAGTGTCTTCTTTCATTGACTTCTCTGTCTTCCTGCCTGCCTTCACCTCAGTCCAAGACCCTGCACAAAATACAGTTTTAATGTTAAATTACGCAGTAAATCATAGCCATCATTGTGTAATTAAATTTCTCATCAGTTGAGTTTCTTTTTTAATAAAAGGATTGGCATTCTAGTCTTGAGAACTCAAGCTTTGTTCTTTTTCTTTGCTAGTTGGGTATACTGTGGCTTTCTTTTACTCTGAGCTTTGATGTGTTTGAGTTTATGGTTTGCAAAAAGATCGAGAGCTGCACACAGGTGTGCAGTTAAGTTACAGTGCAGTTAACTGCCTAGAATCATAATTTGATTCACATTTTGATTGATAGGCAGACTGTCAGGCAATTATATATGCTATAAATATGTCCATGTATGTGTATATTGTGCATATTTTATATATATATATATATATATATATATGTGTGTGTGTGTGTGTATAGTAAGGACATCACAAATCCATTCAAACAGCTTCATTTGATGTCCATGCTCTTAAATAAAAGGACAATCTTGAATTTACATTTACAATGAAGCCTGTTAGTCATTGAAAGGGAGATACCTTTTTAGCGTTATTCGCACTGTATGAACTTTTCAGCCCAAACCTTACTGTTGTTTTAATGTCAGGAGGAAATACCACCCTTGTTTTGGATCCAGGCCAGATGCAAGAACAAAAAGTCTTTAAAAAGTCATCTTAAAAAGCAAATGTTTTGCAGGAATGGCTCTCTGAAACAGCATTCAGAAGTGTCCAGGGTTTTTCCTTGGGCTATTTCAGCCATTCAGGCTCAACGAGTGTCTTATTGTACTGGCGTAACAACCTATAAACACGTTTTAACCTGTTTTTGTTTGCAGTTGCAGGCTACTCTAGGGGTATTATTGAGAGAGGACTGGATATAACATAATTAGACCTTAAAGACTCTTTGGCAGAGCATTTGGATTTTGGACCTTATGATTTAAAGTATTTAGCAGGATGTCCACCAGAAATCATGTTACATGTTCATGACTTGTAACTCTTTATGACTGCTGATACCGGTGTGCCTCTTGAAGGCTTTTGAAGAATCGTTTTATTGAGGTGACTCTGTGTGTTTACCTTCCCAGGCTGGTGGATGATCGTTGTGTCGTGGAGCCAGCAAGTGGAGATCTAGACAACCCTCCCAAAAAATTCAGAGGTATTTTATAGCTTTTAAAATAATCTTTCACACTTCTAAATGTAGTTCCAGAATGATTATTACACACTGTAGCTCTTTGGAAGTCTTGATTCTGATTGGTAAGTTGTGCATGCAACCTTTCATTGATAGCTAGAAGTTTGCGGTCCCCAGAGAGAAATTAAAAATAAGAAGAAATGTTACATTTTAGTAAAATATGCTATATAACTAATCTGAATAAAAACAAATGTGAAAAAGTGAAAAGTAGCATGTAAAATACGTTTGGCTGGTTTTGAGTTACCTGGTATTGACCTCAAACCATAACCTCAAACCACCCCCCCCCGCCACCCCACACA